TTGAATACTTATTGTATTTAATGTGAAAAATATTTTGCCCTCCCTCCCTCGGAACTAGTCAAGGACCACCACTGTGTGTCGCGAATAACATGATGTGAACCGAACGGCCGCACGAGCGTGGGATGCTGCGATATCCTAATGATACGCGCGTGCGCATTTGCGCGATTCCACCATAGACACATACTTATATCTTATCAATAGGAGAGGAAACGCAGAGAGTAGGACTATATAGGAGAGCCCCGAATAAACAAAAATCAGACGTGAGCCACCAGAATCAGTGCAAGCACCTTCACGCCAGACACCATTCCAAATTAATCATTTGGACTTAGAATATTTTCAATTAAATCATTCTTGTTCAGTAATAGTGTTTTATTCGCACCGCAAGCAAATAAATATATAATTATTAATAGGGTTCGGAAGTTATAGGAGCAAAAAAAGGCAAAATATATTTATTTATTTACCTATTAAAAGTGTATTACTTATTTATTAATATACACAAAAAAAATTCTAAAGACATATATTTAAAAAAAAAATTGTATTATTCAAAACTCTTATATAAGTTAAATATAAAAAGTGTGGCGCGTTACCGGTTGGCGTTTGAGATTTTATTGAACTGAAAGAATAGTTAAATAAATATTTTTTCATTATTTGTGAAATAAGAAATAGATTTATGTTGAATAATACCTGTTAAGTTGTTTTTCGCTTTACTAGCGTTGTGTTATGTAACATTATTTAAAATAAATTGGTTAAGAATGAAAAAAAAATTAATTTTTGTTGAAAATATTAAATATAGGTACATATAAATATGCGAAGATTGACGAAATATGCACTTTTTCTCTAAAATTATGGAAATATGCAAAATATGCATTTTTAATTTTTAATTTTTAAACTCAACATTGTATAGTTCGGATTTCTAGCTTGGTCTGCTACAATTCGACAGCATACAGAACAATATGCAACTCCTATAACTTCCGAACCCTAATTATTAATCACAAGTCAAGTTGTTATACTTATTTCACCCGAACCATCCACTTCAACACAAGTCGTTCGTTCTCCTGTATGCTGGGACGCTACAATAATGAATCTGATTTGATTAATTTGGAATTTATTTTATAGATACCTTTTTTCTTTTTTTTTTTTGTAATAACACTATAATTAATATAGTTTAAAACATCCTAGACTGATAGTCTTCGCTCAGAATCGTTTTCCGTATACAAATATACAATGATATTATATTATTGAATTCAGATTTAATACCACCCATCATAGTAACCAGTAACCCACTTGTAAACTAGGTACTGTACAGCAGAGTTATACATCCACCTACCAACTTTTTTATATTGTTTTAAATGTTTTAATTCTAAAAATATTTATTCTTGAAACTTAAAACATGACACTTTTTTTCTATGCACAATTCAATTTTTCAAAATATTTAGACTATAATTTTAAGCATTTAAAATTTTTTTTTATGTTAGTAAAAATGTTCATGTTTCAATGGTCAAACAGTTTGAAAGTTTAGTAAAACGTTTCTCATAAGTAGTTTTTATAACAATCTAAACATTTTTAAAAATATAAACCCAATATTTTATTTTTTCATATTTAAAGTTAACTATTTTAACGTAATTGGATATTGAATGAAAGATTAGAGTTTTATTCATTCAATAATTATTATTCGTAAATATTTTTAACTATTTTTTCAATGTAGGTACAGTGTATACTGTATAGTAATTACTAATTATAGTACCTATACATATTAAAACCATCAAAATATTTATTATTTAGATTAATTTTAATGTATATTTACTAGTATACCTATGTAGTATATGCCGTTCTATGGTCGTAGTAGATACACATTAAGTACCTATTGTATTTTGCTATTTGGGTCTATTAAAATAAAATAATAAATACGTTTATCATTTTAGTTAATTTATATATTATATAGAGCTAGATCGCATCTAGGCGTTTTTGGCGCGTGACCGCTTTTTTCATGATTATAATCAATAGAAAAAAGATTTAATGTATAGTGTAAAGCGTTTTATATGATATAATAAATATCACTGTCATTTAGAACAAATAAAGAAGCGGAAATAATTATAATTATTCATAGGTTATACAGTAAGAAAAAATATATTATAATATTATAATATTAAAATTTAATTAGTATAAAAATTATTATCCACTTGAGGATACCAGCAAACTGCTTGCTTTTTCTTTGGCCCAAGTGCAATATATACAAAACGCATTTCTAATTATTATTTTTTAGAGTATGATAAATCGATTTGTTTAAATTTGTCTCAAAACAATTTCAACATCATTTAATTTTAGAAACATTTATTTCTTTTTTGAAAATCACATAATAATAAAAATAAAATATAAAACCAATATGTCAAATACCTGTGTACACAAATTTATTGCTAACTATAAGTGAGATGAAAACGTTTTATACAGCAGATATTGACAGACACCCGTAGGTTTTAAATCAATATGTTTTAGTAACCATGGAAACTGTATTATAATTTTCATTTGGAGTATATTATTCAGTATTATTTATTGACATTGCATGGAAACTAAAAGCCAAAGAAGAAATATAATTTCTAAGCAAAATAGTATTGGAAGAACTATGTTTTGAAAACTTGATTAAGTACATCTAAATGAGTTTAACATATAACTATATTGGTGATAAATTATAAAATGATAATCTAAATAAGTATCTATATTTTAGTCAGACAAATACTGGCAACATAAAATTTATTTTCTACTAAAAGAGAGTGCACATAATAATTTATGAAAAAAAAACTACTTTAGGGTTCAAAAAAAATTATTGTAATCAGTATTAAATTTTTAATCGATCGTTTGACCCAAGTGAAATGTGTAAATGTTCATTGAATTTCATTCAGAAACAAATACAAAATATTTATCTTACATATTATTTTATAGTTATTTATTTAGAAATATATTTTAATTGTAATTTAAGAAGATATGTTTTATACAATTACATTACATGCTGGTTTTTATTTTTTATCTTTGATCATTTTTAGGAATCACATATAAATTAAATATTTTACTATAAAAATAATAACTAATTATTTTGGTTTAACTCTTGGGTATTTTTTTTCATAATTTCCAATTTTATTTTGAAGGAATTTAAATTTAACCAATTTAGGTGCTTTATATATGATTCCAAACCACTAATATATATAAAAACAAAATCTTGAGTTATTAGGTATATTTATCTATTTTTATAAGTAGGTACATTTAAATTATAAAAATTAAAAAAAATTAACTCATTGTAAACTGTAGAGACCCGATAAGAATTATTTTTGTTTCATTTTTGTTTCATCATTGTTATTTTCAAGTTCACATCAGTTATACTTTATACCTATATGCATTTTAGTCAAGGTTGGTAAAGCCAAAGAGTGGCCGTCAATGTCCAGTGTTATTATATAAGAAAATATGACTGATTATCTTATAATTACTTCGTTACATAATTTATCAATATTATAGTAATTTATCAAACAATCAAGCATTATATACTATTACTATATTTATTAATGATAATACTACCGAATGCTCGAAAACCCTAAATTATTATAACCCTAATTATATATAAATGGTCATAGGCACTGACGCCTATGAATATGAGTCACATACTTTGCAGAGTAAGGTCGCCTGCAATGATTTAACAAATATATTATAAGTAAAATCAATGAATTTTGATTAAATTGGATAGGACTAAAAACTATGACTCGTACAAAAAGACTACCTGCGCCTGATGTTTGGATGATTTAGGTAGGTAGTGGTATAGTGGATATTTCATCACATGTTTACCCATAGTCAATTAGGATTTTTTTTACTTAATTAACGAAACTGGCATTATTTCATACAGATATATGCTTTACTATTGTATTCATAACACAATTGTAAATAAATATTCAAATATTGTAAGTGCTGGAATGTTTATCTGTTATCTGTACATAAGTACAGTCGTACAGCCGGTACAGATACCTACAYGTATTTTATTAGGTACTTTATTGTTAGAGGTCTAGAGCAAGGACATTCATGAAACATAATACCTATGTGTGTTTTTTTTGTGTAATTGTTATTTCAGTAAGTACAATAAAATACAGTAGAATACAATTCATATCGTGTTTTTCATYAAATAATTAAAATCACTACCTCATCAATATTTGTCCATATTTTGACATTTAAGGGTTAAATAGCAGGTAATATTTTAAATATATATTTTAAATGTTTGTCGAAACTTTAGCACTGAAGTAAGAATTTTTCGTAAATCAAATATCAGTGTCAAAAATTATTTATGGCTTTACTGTGAATTTTCTGCAAAAAAAATAAAAACGATAGAAACTAATTTTCATTTTAATAGTCAGTGGGTAGTTGAGGTTATAAATCATAATAKTATAATAAAGTGTACATAAATATTGATCAAATCATTTATTAGGTATACGTGTAGCCGTCGTACGTATATTTTGTTCAATACCTTTTATACGGATTACAGTTAGTATTAGGTAGCTACGTGACGATGGTCTAATAAATAAATAAATAAATATATTTATATTTACTTGATTATTTATTGTAAATAGCATAAATTAAAAATAATAACCCATCCCCYAACTATTAATTTAAAACAGAGTGAATTGGATTTTAATAAGCTTTAATCTGTTTAAACTTTAAAATGTAGCTAAWACATTATTTTATGCGATTATTACCAATTATATTATTAAAAATTATTAATCTAATAAAATWACTTATGTACTTTATACTTCGCAGTTATAGTTATGTAACTGCTCTGTAACTATCTCTCACCTACCTACGTATACGATATTTAAATGCATTTTTTAGTTACTATTATTCTCTAAAAAATAATGCGTATTTACATATTTGGGTTTATTTTGGTAATGCTTTATTAAATAAGTTTTGGTTTACTTTAAAATCATAACATAAATTACTATTAGTTACCTAAATGTTTTCTAATTTTTCAGGGACGCAACATAATGTGATATTAGAGCCCGAACCTTGGGGGTTACCATTGAATGAAATATTACTGCCTGAACATTTAAATAAATTAGGTTATGAATCTCATGCGGTTGGTAAATGGCATTTGGGTTACTTCAAGAAAACTTATACACCAACATACCGAGGTTTCAAAAGCTTTTATGGTTTCTGGAATGGATATCAAGATTATTATACACATATGGTCCAAGCAACTGTAAGTATATCTATGAWATAGGTGCATAGAAAGGTAATGTATAAACATATCTTTCATATAATCGGTTCCCAATCTTGCATCTCTTTGCTCGATTGTTTCTGAAGCTCGTATTGCCATTTTCTTTCATGCTTGATGCATAGAATTACCAATCATTCTTTTTTTGGGAGGCATAATTGCATAGAAATTGCGTTATTAAAACAATAAAAACAAAATATCAATAAAAACTTGTAATACCACGAAAATAAACAATAAAACATTTAGGGATAATAATTTCTTTCACACAAATACCAACCATCACTAATAAGTAATAACAACTATAATTAGGTAATAGAAACCATCTATAAACAAAAATTTCTATCGTTAATCTCAAAACGTCTCTTTGAGTAACTCCTGGGGTTTGGGGAGGTGAATTGATTTGTGAATCTAAACCATCCAGGATGTCACTCAATCGCATGCAAAAAAATTCATTGAAATCGGTCCAGCCGTTTAAGAGGAGTCAGTGACATATACACGTATAGTAGAATTATATTTATAAAGATAATAACTAGATATCAGATTTAAATGCCTTTAAAACTATTCAAAAATGCCTAAAAATAGCAATGCATTAATCAATATTATAACCACAATAATGTCCTTAAAAAATGACCTACTATTTTTAACACTTCTTTAGCAAACGAAAATACGAACTTTATAAAACAAATGTGATTACGAATGTAACACCAAATAACTAATTAGAAGTTACTGGTTTGAATTTCATACATAATACAACCATCATTAACCGCAHTGTAGATAAATAAAGACTTTATCGTTGTATATTAAAGTCTATAGAGAGTCACTGTAATGGATGTATATTAAATTTGAAATTCATTGATATATAATCAATATATTGTATTCGAAAAACGATTCTGACTTCTGAGCAAAAATGGGTTGTCTGCCTAAAATAATACTAAGTTTATTTTATAATATACTGATTTTGTGATTTATTTTACTATAAGTCATTAGTATTACAGCAGGTTAAATTTATTTTGTCGAAAAAATTATATTTGAAAACGTTGTCATGTGTATAAAATATAATAATATTTATTATAATATATTTATATTATTTATTATAATATACTCTAGAGTTTTCAAGTGTCAAAGGTTATTCGCTTTTGAATTACAACAAAATAAGAAAATCACTTCATTAGAAATCGAATGTTATAAAAATTTGAACTTAAAATTCCCATAAAATTTGAATTTGATTTTCCGGTATACATTTTTATTTTAAGGTGGGTAAACTTCCGAGGAACATTGTATTACATATTCTAGTTTTTGATCGAGCGAAAATTTTTTTGATTGATATTAATTTAACAAAATACTAATATAGTAATCGAAAAACTACATATGCCTTTTAATAGCTGATCATGAACCAAAATATTTTGAAAATCGTACTATACAAAATGATAATACAAACATTCAGTGAAAATGTCATGCAGGTATTATATACCTATTGTATTTTTTTTAGAGTTACAACAAAAATCAAAATCAATTTTGGTATCGGCGYTTTAATTAAATGCTGAGAATATTAAATTTTGACTGTCCAAATAATATCCTAAGCATCAGCTAAATTTATTTTTCGATTTATTGAAAAATCGAAGCATTATAAATTTACTTATTGCGTAATGTGTGCACAAATACGTCGYTCCGCTCAGAATGTCAGAATCTAAAAATTTAACCTATAATGTAGGTACTTACTAATAATGTCTAATAGTAAAATAAATTACTTTCTTCTTCAACAACAACAACAGCTTAACGGCCCATTGAGGAACTGCGCTGACACTAGTAAGCTTTTCCATTTTTCTCTGTCCAAAGTCCAGTCTAACGTTGCATGCTCATCTATCAGTCTCATATCCTTTTCTTACTTTAATAACAATTATATCATAAAAAATACTTACGTAGTAATATTTTAAGTTGACATATTATATCGCAGCGAATCCTTTTGCTATTGACAAGCGCGGATCAATTCCGAGATGCCGGGGGGGGGGATTATAAATAAGTATACATAGTTAGATACCTACTGCTAAATACGAGTATATTATATGTATATACATACAAATAAATTCCTGATTATTTATAATGAATACTTTTTTTCGTAAACTGCATTGAATTTCTTTATTAAATTAAAAATGTGTAATATCGACAGTGTTCCTCTTAGACATTATGTTTATGTTCAATAAACGAATAATATGAAATAATTACA